ACACGGTAAACACGGATCCCGTGTTTAATAAACACCAATAGAAACACAGTAAACATGGATCTTTCGCTGTAATCATTCGTAATCGAATTGAATTATCGGCCGAATGATGGAGATCAGGAGAGCTGTGATTGGCTGAGAGCGCTGCGGAGGCGGGAAGCTTTTTTTCGGAGAAGAAGAGCGGTGATTGGTTGAGGTCGGTGACGTCACCCGTATCATCAGCCGGTTGATGAGACACAAGGTTAGGAAGTTTGAACGGAGAGAGAGATGCTGCTGTCGGTGTTAACGGCTGGAAGCTAAAATAAAACGTTAAAAAGTGGAGAAGGTTTCGCGTGCGAGTCCGTCGCGGGGTCTCTTTTGTCCCGGAACCACCACCATGGTTCAGCAGACCCAACATGGCGGAGCGAGGATCAACAGGACCGGCCCGGAGGAGAGCGAGCTGCTGGCGGCCTCGACGCGCGGCTCCGCTCCTCTGAAGAAGCCGGACTGGTGCAAAACCGCGAAGGGTCACATCAAGAGACCCATGAACGCCTTCATGGTGTGGTCCAAGATCGAGAGGAGGAAGATCATGGAGCAGTCACCGGACCTGCACAACGCGGAGATCTCCAAGCGGCTCGGGAAGCGCTGGAAGACGCTGAGAGACACCGAGAAGATCCCGTTCATCCGGGAGGCGGAGCGGCTCCGGCTCAAGCACATGGCCGACTATCCGGACTACAAGTACCGGCCCAAGAAGAAGCCCAAGACGGACGGCTGCTGTGCGTTTCCTCTGGGGAATCCGTCCGGTAGAACCGTTAATAAAAGCCACGCTGCTGCCGCGAAGAAGCTCTCTAAGAGTAAGAGCAGCAAGCTGACCACCGGCAGCTACAGAGCCAGCAAGCTGCTCGTTAAACGGGAGTTTACCGACTCCGAGGAGGAGGACGAAGAGGACTCCGAGGAGGAGCGGGAGCTTAAAGCCGAGGAGGAGGACCAGCCGATCGGCTACTGTTTCTCCAAGACGCCGCCGACCCGCTTGAGTCAGAGCTCCGCCGACGTGTACGAGCCGTCGGGTCGGCTCTTCTACAGCTTCAAGAACATCACCCGGCAGAGGAGCAGCACCTCCTTATCACCGGCCTCCTCGTCCCGGTCCTCGTCCTCGGAGGACCTGGACGACCTCCCCGCGGAGGAGAGTCTGCTGGCCGGCTTCTTCCACCACCACCACTCCTCCTCCTCCTCCTCCTCGGAGCCGTGGAGCTCCTCGTCCAGCTCGGCCAACCTGAGCCTGTCCCTGGTGGACAAAGACCTGGACTCGTGCAGCAGCAGCCTCGGGTCCCACTTCGACTTCCCGGACTATTGCACCCCGGAGCTCAGCGAGATGATTGCCGGGAGCTGGCTGGAGGCCAGCTTCTCGGACCTGGTGTTCACTTATTGATCAGGGGGTCTGGGTCTGGAGCTCCAGAGCCAGTCAGGGAACGGGTCTGATGGGGGGGAGAGACCCGGTACCCGGTACTCACTGTGGTACTTCTGCAAAAAAAATCCAAAAAAAAAAAGATCCCCTCAACAGGGTTTTATGGATTTAGTTTTCTGTTGCTCGGGTCTGAACCAGAACTAGAACTATGCATTCTAATGAAGTCTAATATCAGGAGAAACCTCATTATTTACCCCCCCTGGACCTGGACCAGGACCAGGACCTGGACCAGGACTACTGCTGCAGGACTCTTTTATGTGACTCCTCTTTATTTCACATGTCGGGTTGCCAGGTCTGAGGCAGAACCCCCTAAACCCAGCAGACATTTGTTTTATATGACAGAACCAAACATACCTCATCTTTCTATTCTCAGATTTAAGTATTTTTGTACATCAAAGGGTCGAGCTGTGTTTTTCAGGCACTTCTTCTCATTGTGACTGACGATGACGTCATGATTTGTAACTTGAGAGCATGCGAGGGTTCGAATCCCGGCCTGCCTTGCTTTACCGCCTGGCTGTTTTAAAGTGTGCAGACAGGAAGTAGCTGGACCGGGTTGTTTGTGTGAAGACGTTCAGGACTTTGTGTTGTGAGCGAGGAACCGGATGTTTCTGTTTTTATCACATTAACGCACGTTTGTTTATTTTGTGCTCATTATTTTTGTGCAATATAAAAGAAAAGAGAAATAAACGAAATGAAAGCGTCTCGAGTTTTGTGTGGTAGCAGAAGAAGAACCTGAGTTAACTTGTGTGAACTGATCCCCGATCGGCTCCTCAAAGGGCCGGTACCGGTGCAGCCTCCACCAATCACAGACTCGCGCTTTCACACCTTTAAACTCTTCTGTTCCAGAGCTTTCAACCGCGTCACAGGATCCTCCTCAAGGGTCTAAACCTTCTTAACATGTTTATGAAGCCTCGAAGATCATTCATTTTATACTTGAAAACGAGCCAGAATACTACGTGTATAGAAGTATATAAATACTTTTATGTGATCGTAGGATTCGTTTGACATCGGTGTGCTGAAGAAGCTCATGTGAGGCGACTGAAAGCTGCTGGTTCTCTATCAGCGGTGACTCCTTAAAGGGCCAGACGCTCTTTTAAATAATAATCATAATTCTTTCAAAAGCAGTTTATAACCGCTGACGACGTCCACTCACTCTTCTGGAGCTTTCAGTTTCGTTACATGGTCTTCCTCCATCACGGATTTCAAAGTTCAAAAGAGTTTTTCTCACGGACCTAAACTGGTAAAAATATAGTTAATAGTTAAATTAACTTCCTGTTTAAAATCTCTCGGAGGTGGGGCTAAAGGAAGCGCGACTGAGCATGCTCAGTGGGACCAGTGATGATGAGGAAGTGGTGCAATGCATGCTGGTACATGTAGGCCTGTCTGGGTCAATACAGCAACATAGATTTATGAAGACTTCATATCTGCCATCACGTCCAGCCCGGGTTCCTCCAGCCTTTTTGTTTACGTTACCCACAATGTAACGCTGAGTCTCGAGGGTTCAGGAGGTCAACTGCTGCTCATGAGGAGGAGGAGGAGACAAAACAGGAAGCAGGGAGGAGGAGGAGATGAAGAAGAAGAAGAAGAGGATTTCTAACTGATGTTGCTACAAACAGTTAGCATATCTACCATTATCATGATGTAGCTGTAGCTACAAACAGCTAGTGTTAGCCTAGCCTAGTGTTTCTAGCTAGTTGACAAATGTCCAAACCGTGTGTAGCCTAGCTTAGCACAAAGACTGAAAGCAAGGGGAAACTCTTAGCCTGGCTCGATTCAGAGAGAGTCCACTTTACATGTTGTGTGTTAGCTTAGCTAACACGATGTTTACTTCAGACAGCTTGGTGATGAAGTCGCCATAACCAAGAAGATGAGACTCAACGAAGGTTTGTTAAAACTTTATTTGTGTTGTTTGTGTGAATGAAGAGGTCCTCACACACCCACACGCACAGACACACACACAGACAGACAGACACACAGACAGACAGACACACACAGACACACACAGACAGACACGCGCACACACACAGACACACACAGACACACAGACACACACAGACAGACACACACACGCACACAGACACACACAGACAGACACA